TAGATAGATAGATAGATAGATAGATAGATAGATAGATAGATAGATAGATGATTAGACAGACAGACAGATAGATATATAGATGGATAGATAGATGATTAGACAGACAGACAGATAGATAGATGATTAGACAGACAGACAGACAGATAGATAGATAGATGATTAGACAGACAGACAGATTGATAGATAGATAGATAGATAGATAGATAGATAGATAGATAGATAGATGGATAGTAATTGCGCAATGACTTTCATTTTGGCAATGAATGTAATCAGTTTCGGACTTATCATAAAGTGAAATCCTGGACCACATACTGACTGGTGGGTGTAAATACAAAGAAAACATTACATTTATGGGCTGAATTCACCATCAGTCGCTTTAATGTGATTCAGCTCTGCCAAACATTTCGGCTGCATAAATACCTGTGGCATCATCTCAGAAACAGAGCTACAGAGATAAAGAGGTGGGTCATGAACAACGTGACTAACATATCAGTTGTTATGTTAGTATGTGAGTTGTTCACTCAGATTTTTCCATCATGACACAGTGGGTCAGAGTCTACAGAGTAGCATCGCTTTTCTGATAATGTATCATGTTTTTTTCCACTGTTATACTCAAATAGCTATTTTTCTGTAAAAGCGTAAATGTTTTTGTTTTCTAGCTTCGAAAATAATTAATCCTATTTTCTCTTCGGATGATAGCTGTGATATCCACCAGCATTGTTACAAACAAGATAACAGAATTAAGCAACAAGCCTGCAGTTCTGATCATACGAGAGTATTTTTTTTATCATAACCTTTCCACCTTTTACATTTTTATTCATGAATTACTGACAAAGTGTAGATTCTTTTTGTTGGATTAATAGTAATATTTCACACATGGCTCCATGATTCCTCTTTTCACCTCATACACATCCATTTTTCACCGCCAATTAGAATTAAATGTCTTATTTGTATTCTTTGATGTTAACCTCCATTAGGATCATCCATGTGCAAGAAAATGAGGAAAAAGTTCATTTGCATACTATATTAAAACAGTGACAAGGACTGGGATGCTAATTGCTTTGTTTTTACTCACCCACTGAAACTGTCAGCAGGTGGGTAAAAACATCTCTTTTGAGTTCAACAGCCTGATAAACATTTACACTATAGTGCTCATTAAATCATCCCGATTCAGTGTTCAAATCTGATGTTAGTTAAGTTATTAAGATGCCATCTCCAAACAACACAAAGGCTGCATCTGAAATTGCATACTTCCCTTCTGAATAATAGGCCAAAAACAGTAACTGAAAAGAGTATGTCTGAATTTATAGTATTCAATCATAAAACTCTGCCGGTGAGATTCTGAAGTGCACATCTGATGGACAGTTTGACTTTACTATCCCATGAGGCTACGGGAGAGGATTTGTGAATGGCAGTAAAGCAAGGCAATTGACACTGGTAGGTCACATGGTAATGACAACATGGTGAATTTATTGAATTTATTGAATTTCATTCATACTAAATACTGTAGAACACACTTTTTTTTAGCTGTCACGAAGTAATTACTTATTCAAAAGATGTACCTACTCAGATAGTATGTGATTTCAGACACAGACAATAGTGGTGTTTCATTCCTGAATGAATCAGGGTTTTTGACCAAATCAGTTGAGTGAATAATTCAAGTGACTAGATTTGTGAATGACAAACTGGTTAAATGAATTATGTACTGTAACATGTGGAAAGATCCACAGAAAAATCAGTTTTCAAACGCCACTCCTTTGAGAACCAGATCTAGATTTCAGTTCTGTTTTAACTGTTGATTGGCCAATCAAGTTTATACCCCGCCTAACATTTCTTAGAACAGATTTAAATGGAAAAAAAGAGTATTTGAGGCATTTTTCAGGTATACCTAAAAAAAAGGTAACAGCTGATCTGCTAAATGTGGATGGAGGACGCATTCTGTCTCTATTCCTGTCCAATAATCTGATGTTTCCCTTTTCGCTTTACACCTTACTGTCATTTCAATTACTCAACAACTTATACAAATGATGTTATCTTAACGCCTCAGGGAACTTAAAACCAGTGCCGTGTCCAACCAGCTGACAGGTTGCACAACAACCCTTCTAATCCAATTGAGACTTTACTGACACTGAGGTAAACACACATTAGCTTGGTGTGACACCAACAAATTGAATTATGCTTCATTTGGAGCCAGAAAAGGCCACATTCTGTGTGAAAAAGAAGGATCTTACAAGCATTTCTGTTTTATACCAATTTTCAAGGTCCACCCGAAGACCATTTTCTTCCCAACTGTTTATTTTACACCTTTTAGACTTTTTATAACCTAATGCGTGTAGCTGAACACTCTTTTCAAATCAGTAAGAAAAACCAGCTCCAAAACAATGATTACCACAGAACTGGCAGTATGAATGCAAAATATATGTACATATTGCATTCAGAGGTTCGCAGATGTGGCCTTAACCCTGACCCAAAATCGATTAACAACAACATAGATGTTGAGATGCACATTATTGAGATAAAATATAAGGGCAAGTAGCAATGTTTAAAGTTTGCTGAGAGAGAAGTTGGACACTCAGTGTGTCGTCCAAGAGCTTTGTTCACATGCCACAGTCATTTAATGTAAAGTTTCTGTTTTTTTCACTCTCATTCACTGAGGCACTGTTGGGAGTGATGAATGGGCCCCTTTCAATGGACCGCCCTTCTAAAATCTGATCAAAATTCACTACAGGGCTATCCCACCTCACATGTTATAGTTTCTTTTTGAAAGATTGATATAAAAAAAACTTGAATTTCTGATATATTTTTAAGACACGTGGGTTTGAGAACACGTCTCCCTGACATGGCTGCATCAAAACAACTGCTGTTCCTGAAACCACGCTTTCTTTCTTTGAGTGCACATTTGGGCAGCATTATGCTAATATTTCCACATAGTGAAGTAGGTATGTGGGGGCGTGTTAGAACGAGCCCTTTTAGGTAGGCGTGGCTGACTCTTAACTTTTATAAAGAATATCTCTTTGGATTTGAGATTTTAGTCTTTGCAACTTTACAGATCTTCTTTATGCACCAAGAGCTTGTAACACTCCAAAGAGAAAGGAAAACTTGAAATCGCATCATATGACCCCTTTAAAATAACTGACAAAACAGTCCGCTCAAAAACCTGAATTGACAGAAAAGTGTTGCCAATGTGCTCTCCCAAATTAGTGATCCAAAAGAGTGACCACTGAACAAAAGTGGCCAAATTGAGTGAAAAACTGTCAAATTGAACTGCCAGTGTCCTCTCTCCCTAATAAGCGACAATAAGAGTGCCCTGAGCTGGCTGCCTTTTAAAAACAGTTTGAAAAGAGTAAGCAGTGCGCTCTCTCCCAAATAAGCGACCAAAAGAGTGACTGGTCTCCCTCAAAAACGCTGACTCTCTCAGAAAACTAGCCAAATACGGCCTTCAAGTGACCTTCAACACTTTTGAAAACAACAGAAAGAAACTCTCCTCAAATAATCTTAAACTCACTCGATTATATGCGGCAGGCACGAGTGTTCTGGATGTTGCGCGCTCAGCGCGTGGGAGACCGCTATATTTCGCAGCTCGCGCCAGGACTCGAATATCTGTCGACAGGGGGCGCGAGCCAGTGACACTGAGCCAGACCAGTAAATGTGAATCTGAAGACTTGAAGTGCTACGCAGTCAACGTGAGACCCTTCAGGATCCGCGCGGTGCCCACCGCTCCCTCTTAACAAATAACTGCCACCAGTTTTCAGCGCGTTCTACCTGAAAACCCTGCAACGCGTTCAGCGGTATTCCCGGAGAGATGTTCGGGTGATTTTTGAGTGTTATCTGACCACGTTTTTTTTTTTTCGCATCGTTTTAAAAGCGAAGAATATCGAGAGACCCACAACACGCAAGTCTGTTGATCCGGATGAACAAGTAAAAACTCGCAACAGATTTTGCTCGCGGACAACTTCTCTGGAGCTGAGTGAGTTTCGCTGTTTTCTTATCAAGTGTTCTTGCATGATATGCTTTTAAACAGCTTTATTTGAAGTGTTTTAGTTGGGCTACGCTTTGGTTTAAAGGGGTGTGCAGAGCTCGTGTAGCACAGGGCAGTAAACTGGGGGAAATCGAGCACTTTTTGCGTGCTGTGTGTGCAGATTAAAGGGATTTTGATAAGTAATCGTTTTGTTGTTGTTGTTATTTCTCATTTGATGTTGTTCTGTCGTCTAAACTTTGCTCTGTTCTCAGCGCAAGAGGGAATAAGGCAGAAATGTAGTTTAGTTTTAAGGAGCCTCAGATGGCTTTTCGGCTGCGAAAGTGTTGGAAAACATTTATTACCCTCGTTAAATCAACACCAGAGTAGCAAATTAAACAGAGCGGGAATTAATGGACACATTTGCTGTATATTCCTGTTATGAATTTGCGTGGCAGCTGGATTTATGCACGTGGCGTCTGTCTTACAGGTGTTTCCCGCAGGTTTGAGGGCCCTTCAGGTGTGTCAAGTCCACTTGAGGTATGATGAGAATATAAAGAAGCTGGTATTTCTTTACTGTTTCAACAAATGTGTCTTCTAGTTTTGTATATTATTATTTTGTGCTTTGTTCCTCTGATGTAAAATAAGATTTAGTAGAGAGTATGAAGCACTTTGATAACACTTTTGAATACTTTCAAAAATAACTTTAGCAAACATTTAATTCTAAACTGTTAGAATTAAATGCATTTAAATATGTAGATTTACTTTTACAGTATTATAGTAGTACTGTAGTATATTCATGTTCATCTTTAAATGTCTCTAAATTAAAAAAAAAATCAATCCACTAAAATTGAAATCTTAAAGGGGTCCTATTATGCTCTTTTACAAAGTCTTGATTTTGTTTTGGGGGTGTACTAGAACAGGCTCTCATACTAGGTTGTTCGAAAAAACACATGGCGCCTGGTCGGGAAATGTCACGCCCCTTATCATAGCCGCCTGCGAGCTTCAGTGTAAATATTGCTCAAAATCAAATCAATTTGAGCGCGATTTAAACCCGGATGATTGTAAGCACTCTAAGTTCGTCTGCCTTGGGAAAGCTAGCGTGTCTGCGACATAGTGATAACACTCGTTGCCTTCTCTAGTGCAGCTCAACCAGGTCTCGTCCCATTCGTTGGTATTTGTGATATCACAAATCCTGGAAAATATGCGTTGTAGTTCGAACGAGTCGTTCGTTGTAGTTTTTGAAAAGTGATTTCTGTTCAATAAAATATCTCCTTTTGAGTTGGACTTTGAGCTTTGTAACTTTGCAGGTCTTTTTTATGCTCAAACAGCAACATTACAGACTAGCTAAAGTTGAAAAAGTGAAAAAGCATAATAGGACCCCTTTAACTGTAAATGTTGCCATAATCAATGTGATGCCCAAGTAAAATGCTGCAGTGATAACTTTTTCAATCACTTTGAATATTAATATTGATGAAGAAAGCAAAGCTTGACAGTCTAAAAACCCGTAGAGTAATTGTAAACATTATTCTGACAGCCTCTTACACTTTTTCAGACAGAAATGGCCTTGAAATGAGGCTGCAAATCCAAGACTCCCTGCATTTAATATTTCCAAGCAGCCATGACATTACCTGTGCAATTCTACAAAATCCTGATCAAAGGGATGTAAAAGCGCTGCAATCAAATTTCCCATTTCACAGATGCTTAAACAGAAAGGTCATGAGTTCCCGATTGAAGCGCATCTGTGAATGAAGCACATAGGCAGCTTGTTATGAAGAGAGAGGTCTTAAGATGATAGAGCAAGAAGAGTGCTGCCGATTTGCATATTCCTAAAACACTGACTCGAATGTATTGAACGATTTTTCTGAAGTTAATCTACTGCTTTACAGTGATTTTTTAAAAATGTATTTATTTATTATTATTCTTATATTGCAATTTTTTGCCAGTTTACTTTTGCCAGTATCCCCAGTTTGCGTAGACTGTTTCCGACATGTTTCTTCGTTGTGGAAAAGGTTACTAATGCTGAGGAGCTGTTCAAAAGAGAAATGCTTCTTCTAGAGGTTCAGTAGATTCTCACATGCTAATTGCAAAATGTGTTCTGCTGTTATTGAACCTGAAATTCATTATTCATTTAAACTCGTTATTCATTATAAAATGTTGGCATTCAACATTAAATTGAATTACTTGTTTCAGCTTAATGTTAGTCTGTATTTAAATGTTTTCTGTGTTGATAATAATTGTTTTTGTGTACAAGGCTTGCAGAAACATTTTGTGTTGACTGAATGCACAATGTAGCCTACACCGAGAGGAGATCAAGGTGTGGTAATCAGAGAAGAGTTCAAATTTAGGTTAGATATTAGTATTTGCACACTTTTAGGACACACTTAAAATGTCTGCATTTCATAATTTGGCTGTAAAATATCAAACCAAGTGGCATCTGTAAACAAATGGTGCATTTTCTCAGAAATAACTTAGTTATAAAATTTACTTTTAACTTACCCATTCCAAAGTCGTATTTAGTGAAAGTTTGTTCTCCTCAAGTTGACACAGGTGTTCTAACAATAACCACAGCTGTACTTCATATCATTACCAATAAACATACTGACATTTGTACAGCCATAAGTATTGTTTTATTAATTAAATTTGTTTCTGATAAAAAGGGTGTTTTTGCTACATTTCCTTAAATACAAATGCATTTTGTTTGATATTTTGTTATACATTACCATTCAAAGGTTTGTGGTCAGTAAGATATTTTAATGTTTTTGAAAGAATTCTCTTTTGCTCATGAAGGCTACATTTATTTGATAAAAAATACAGTAAAAACAGTCAGATTTGGAAATATGATTACAATTTAAAAGAGCTGATTTCCATTTGAATATATTTTAAATGTATTTCTGTGATTGCAAAGGTTTTTCAGCCATTTTCACTTTAATTAAATCTTGTTGAATAGAAGTTAATTTCTTTAAAAAAAAAAAAATAACTTACTGACTCCAAACTTTTGAACAGCAGCGTATAATGCAAAGCCATTTTCAATTTAATGCATCCTTTCAAAAAAAGAAAATGTTACTGACCCTAAACTTTTGAACAGCAGTGTATAACACAAATATTTTATACGTTTTTAGATGTGACTTAAGTGTCAAACTGTGTATATCAGAGTATGAAGGTTTAAGCTTTACAGTGCACCAGCTTTTGACTCTCTATGAAAAATGTCTACTGTGGACCAACAACTGTTTGGTTACATTCTTCAAAATATCTGCTTTTATGTTCAACAGACAAAAGAAACTCATACAATTGAGAGTGAGTAGATGACAGAATTTAATTTTTTTGGGTGAACAACCAAGCCATTGTCAGTTGATTCAAAAAGCAGTAGAACTAGATGTGTATGATTTAGTGTGATTTATTGGGCTTCCTAAAAATAGAAGATGCAGTGTTACTTTTAAAAGAAATGCATTGTAGTATTACATTAGTTATAAAAAAGCAAATCATAATGTTACATTATCTGCTGACTAATACGCTCTCTTCTTCAATGAAAAGATTCTTAGGCATTTTTTTATATTTAAGAAGTGTTATTTTGCATTTATGTGTTACGCCCCGTCTACGGTAAAGGCGCAACATAAAAGAGTATGACATGGAAGAGTGTTTTGAAAAAAATAAAGAAAGAAGGAGCAGTATTTGAATGAGCACAGTGGTTTTACAGTACAACTGGGAGAATTTTAGCTTGTGGAGCCGACAAGGCCAAAATAACAAACAAAAGCCAACTAATTCTTATACCTCTAACTACCCTCGTTAATACAATTACTTCCCTATCCAAAAACGATCAAAAAAAGGTTCCAACAAAAATGTTGTCGGTCTCCCTACTTCCCCGGACCGTTATGTACAATTATTTACAAAGGTGAGCAAACTGGTCCAAACAGGAGCAATCCAGAATCAAGGTCAAAGAACATGCGGTGGTCGGTATAACGAAAGAGTGGGCTAAGCAAACTAACAAACAACACTCAATCTCTCACAGACAAACACTCAAATGAACACACAAACATACTCTCAGTCTTACTAACACACCTGTAACTAACTAGCAGGGTCAAGCAGAGTAAACACAGCAAGTGAGCACAAGGCTTATGCAGTAAGTGATGAAGGAGGCTTTTATAGGCAGCTAGGAGTCAGCTGACCAGGAAGGGCGTGGCGTGGCGAACAATTAGACAGCAGGAACCAATCGGTCTTCTTCCAGGACAGAGACACACAAACACCTCCCAAAACAAAAGAAAACACAGAAATAGAACAAAAGGGACGTAACATCTGAAAAGTTTTTATCCTCCAAACACATTTTGCTTGTAAAAATTGGGTTAACCACAGTCATTTTTAATGTGTCATACTGCAAGTAGGGATTGGCTGATGCTGATATCTCAGCCTGGTCTCATTGTTGATAGGTAGGTATACAGTGGGTACGGAAAGTATTCAGACCCCCTTAAAATTTTCACTCATTGTTATATTGCAGCCATTTGCTAAAATCATTTAAGTTCATTTTTTTTCCTCATTAATGTACACACAGCACCCCATATTGACAGAAAAACACAGAATTGTTGACATTTTTGCAGATTTATTAAAAAAGAAAAACTGAAATATCACGTGGTCCTAAGTATTCAGACCCTTTGCTGTGACACTCATATATTTAACTCAGGTGCTGTCCATTTCTTCTGATCATCCTTGAGATGGTTCTACACCTTCATTTGAGTCCAGCTGTGTGTGATTATTGCCCCGTCTACGGTAAAGGCGCAACATAAAAGAGTATGACATGGAAGAGTGTTTTGAAAAAAATAAAGAAAGAAGGAGCAGTATTTGAATGAGCACAGTGGTTTTACAGTACAACTGGGAGAATTTTAGCTTCGGGAGCCGACAAGGCCAAAATAACAAACAAAAGCCAACTAATTCTTATACCTCTAACTACCCTCGTTAATACAATTACTTCCCTATCCAAAAACAATCAAAAAAAGGTTCCAACAAAAATGTCGTCGGTCTCCCTACTTCCCCGGACCGTTATGTACAATTATTTACAAAGGTGAGCAAACCGGTCCAAACAGGAGCAATCCAGAATCAAGGTCAAAGAACATGCGGTGGTCGGTATAACGAAAGAGTGGGCTAAGCAAACTAACAAACAACACTCAATCTCTCACAGACAAACACTCAAATGAACACACAAACATACTCTGTCTTACTAACACACCTGTAACTAACTAGCAGGGTCAAGCAGAGTAAACACAGCAAGTGAGCACAAGGCTTATGCAGTAAGTGATGAAGGAGGCTTTTATAGGCAGCTAGGAGTCAGCTGACCAGGAAGGGCGTGGCGTGGCGAACAATTTGACAGCAGGAACCAATCGGTCTTCTTCCTGGACAGAGACACACAAACACCTCCCAAAACAAAAGAAAACACAGAAATAGAACAAAAGGGACGTAACATCTGAAAAGTTTTTATCCTCCAAACACATTTTGCTTGTAAAAATTGGGTTAACCAGTCATTTTTAATGTGTCATACTGCAAGTAGGGATTGGCTGATGCTGATATCTCAGCCTGGTCTCATTGTTGATAGGTAGGTATAAGTACGTCACGTTTACAAGCACAAAACGTGTTTTTGTACACTTTGATTGATGCTGAAACGTACAATTTGGATGTATTTCAACATTTAAATCGTAGAATTGCTACGTATTTACAGCTTATAAACGCAAAATATTTACGATTCTATTATATCATTAAACTATTTGTATCAATGCATTTTTATAATTTTATCGATAAGAGATTTAGATTTTTAGACCCCTTGACCTTCCCATTTTATTGTGAATATAAAAAGATATAAAATGTAATGGACTGAAATATGCAGGGAAATGACTGTTTTAGTAACAATATAGCATTAAAAATATTTTTTATTATCGCTAATCCCACCCCTACCTTTAAACCTAACCATAACTATTTCTTAAAAATATGTAACGTATAAAGAGAAACATGACAGACAGTGATACCACGATAATTTATTTATTGCAAAAATGTCAAAAGCAGTACCAAAAATATCCAAATGACGATGTGTTGCAACCACAGTCCTCTCTGGTGGAATACAATAGATTTGAGTGAGGTGCAGAGTAGTGGTCGACCGATATTGTTTTTTTTGACAGACGATGCCGATATCTTAGACAACAAGGTGGCCGATGGCCGATATTTATCTATGTATATATATATACATATATATGACATGATTCTGTAATCCTATTACGGTATTTTCATTATTAAAAAAATATTTAACACTGTAACCAGTAAGGCACTCCGTAATCTGAGAAGTTTGTGTGCTTTGGGAATAATATTTTTTTAAATAAAGCCAAAGTAACACTCATTTTTTAACACATTTTTTTCACGCAGCATACTTTGAAATCACTAAATGACTAAATGCACTAAGTGATTTTTGCCAAACGATGTTGATATTTGAAAGCACCAAAACAAACACGGCCATACCCCAACAGGACCTCGCCCCTATTTTGATAACTCCGCCCCACACGTATGTACACAACCCTGACAGCGACGATGGAGGAATCTGCTATGCCTGCTGGCCGCAGCATGTTCAAGCAAAAGTCAACACAGAATAGTTGTATGAAAAAGCAAAATCAATGTAACTCACCCATCAAGAAGAAACAAAGCAACCTCGGTGTCTGATTCCATTGATATGACAACTGAATACAATACAACATAAAATGTTGATGCCGCTATTGCAATATTCATAAAGATTCATTGTAAGTCTGTAAAGTTACGTTTTAGGTGTCACCGATACATCAGGTTTGTAGATTTAGATGCTGTAAATACGTCAGAATTGTACGTTTTAGAGTCTGTGCAAACGTAAGTAAATGTACGTTTTGTAGAACCACATTTTAGCCAACGTAAAATACATACAAATTCTCGGATGGATGGATATCTTGATGACATGGCTGATTTAAAGCAATATATGTGATATTACACTATTTCATTTAAAAATAGCAAATAACATGCTGCAATGAAACATTTATATTTATTTTACACAATATCACAATCCAAATATTAGTTTCTTGACAGAAAAGTTTTAATATTTTTTTCTTTGTTCAACTGAACCACCCCCCCATAATATGGTGTAAATTTGATAAGTAACATGTTACGTTACTTGAACAAATACATTTATTTGTGGAACATGTTACCCCAACATTCATGGTAATATACTGCTATCATTGATAGTTTCAGGTGATGCCTACATGTTTGTTTTACATCATAGATGTGCTAGGAAGAACTGGGAAAAGGTACATTGGTTCTTAGTGCACATAGATTCAGTCATTCCGATTTCATCTCTGCTTGATTGTCTGAGTTCTGATATAAAGTTGCTAAATAGGTGCCATTAAGAGCAATTTACGACCAAGCACATCACCGCACACAGATTTAGTATTACTTCCTGTTTGGAGTGTACCATCATAACAAAGTATGACTCAGTGACTCTGGACGTTTATTATATAGCAGAGATCAACAGGTTTGAAATGGTAAGCTCAGGTTGCATTACTCACTGCTAATTTTGGATGTTATTAATTTAGTCTTGGATGCTGGCCCGACAGGAATGATACTCTCTTGCTTGTTAGCCGGAGCTCTAGACCTGTTAAATTAGTAGTTCATTTTGTGAAGCCTACAACAGTCAGCATTCAGAAGTTTTGTGTTTGCAAATGTGAACTAAATGAAGTGAAGATGTGAAAATGATGATTTCTGACCTTTCTTTCTGCACAAAAAGTAGAAATGCATCCCAGCACCAGATTCTTTTATTAGGGTTGTAGCTAATAATTTAAATTTTGACGAGACACTGAACTTTGCTTATATTATATTATATTATATTATACAGGTGCATCTCAATAAATTACCTAGATAGTGAAATTAGATAGTGAATTGGTGGGTTTTTGTTAAATGTGAGCCAAAATCATCACAATTAAAAGAACCAAAGACTTAAACTACTTCAGTCTGTGTGCATTGAATTTATTTAATACACGAGTTTCACAATTTGAGTTGAATTACTGAAATAAATGAACTTTCCACGACATTCTAATTTATTGAGATGCACCTGTATATACTGTTTACTACATTATTTGTGGCGAGTATTTGAGTATTTGTTTGAGTTATGTGTCTTGCACTGATATCTAGAGAGTGTTAATGGTGCATCTTTTCCCTTAATTGTATAGTTTTAAGTTTAAGAACATTTCCAAACTCATTTACTATTATACTATCAATAATAATAGTACTTAATTATACTTTACTAAATGCAATACAGTCTCATAGACCTAATAAGCACTGGACTGTCAGTATGCGTGTGTAATGCATTTTACACACTATTGCTGTATGATAGCAGCATTCGTGTGAGTACTGGGGCCTCTCCACTACCTGACTGAGAAGGGCCGTCTCTTTGAGAAGAATAGGGAGGATCAAGGCGAGTTTGAGGTGTATTTATTGACTCTGTTCGTACCAGACTTGAGACCAAAGCGCAAGAACATCTCTACAGTATAATTTTTGAAAATATTTGACTTTAGTGAATCATAAGCTTTTATTTAAGTTTTGTGAATGTCAATTTAAAATACCAAAGTATTTTACAATGCAAAAAGACAGGGTTATGAAACCTGCATGTTGTTATTCTAGCATTGTTAGATGTCGAGATGGGGTAAAGCTACAGGTCAAATGCAACAAAGCCAGTTATTTGCTGACTGTGTATTTTGCCACATTTATAAATTAGAGCCTGGTGCTGTTTTCAACAATCCACTACCAAGTGCAGAAGAAAATAGCTTTGAAGCCAAGTTTTAGGCCAGAACTCCTCATTAATCGAACTAGATCCAGAAACACATCAGGGCAAGCTCAGTCTAAACATCGTTTATTAGCTACTTGTATTTATTAATTGTCCACTTAAGATTTTATTTGATGTCATATATTTGACACACATTTAAACCATATCAGTAGTATTTTATTTTTAATTTTTTCATTTCTATCAGGCTGTATATATAAATCTACAGGCTTAGTTGGACTGTTGAGATCAGACTCATCAGTCCCAAAGCACCACTGACCTCTCTATGATTTGTGCTGGTGACCAAACAAATATAGTCTACTTATTTTTAGCCTTACTCTTCAGCTAGCTAGATACAACCTGTTCAGACTACATGCTTGTGACAGTAATTTCTCACTATGTCACAATGGCATCGCCATTTCAGACAAACCATTATCTCTTTTATTATTATTATTGTGATAAGACCCAAAAGTGGTGAGGGAATAGAGTCAAGGGTAATCGACAGACTCAACCAAGCACAAAGTGTAAATCACAAAGCTCCCCCACATACACAAATCACAGAATGAAAGATGGCAATGTTTCAACAGTATTTCTGTCGCACATCTAGCACTAATATAAGTCGGAGTCAGTTTAAATTCTTTATGCTTCATTCTGTTTCGATATGAAGTTTCACCAGAACCTTTAGCTGAGATAGCATGAATGTTTTATACTTTGAAAGGTTTTCTGTCAGCATAGCATCATTTTATAATGGAATCTCTAGTTTAACACAGTAAATGCGGAGTATTAGCTTGTGAAAGCATCCTCCGCACTGTCTGCATGCTCATAAGACCCTAGGTTACTTACAGATAATGGCAAAAACACATATGGCTGGAAGTGCTGAGCGTTGCGGAGGCAGTGTCTGGTTGTTAATTGTCTGGTGTCCTCGTATAGGGTTTCACACAGACCAGCTAAGAATTAATGGCAGTAACAGCCAACACGCTTTGGCGTGAAAGAGTAAGGAAATTAATTGGAGAAGCTGTGGAGATGGCAATGGCCCTGGGGCTCTCAGGAGGTTTCAGCTCAGTATTTGTCAGAGGGGTGTCATCCGGGAGTACCACTGATAATGATTTTTCTTTCCCCCCCGTGCACTCAGGGAGCCAGCAGAAGCTATGGCTTACTCTCTCTCGCTCAGTCTGCTCTACCTGGGCTTGCTGTGTGGAAACGGACTGGTGTCCGCAAGAGGATCCGAGCTGTTCACTGCAGGTACTGCACTCGCAACCACGTCAAAAATATTTGTTATTTTACATTGCCACAGCAGTCTGATTTGCAATCAAGTTGGTCGATCTATTAGGGCTGCACGATACTGGAAAAAAAACTGACATTGCAATACTTTGTTTTTCTGGAATATATTCTGATACAGGAATATTCAACAGATGATTAAATAGCTGTATTTGAAAAGAATGAATCACAAAGCTTTGGGACAAATTTGAATAAATGGTGTATTCATAATTGGGTTTACTTTTTACAAGCACCATCTCAAATCTCTTTCAGTAACATTTCAGAGTTTAAAAAATATATTTGAGCTTTTTATAGGCCACATTCCCACTGTTTAATAGTAATTGTGATTATTTTATTGTGGTTATTGGTTATAAAATTGAGATTGTTGTGATTATTATTAAATAAGGATATTAAACATAATAAGAAATATATTGTAATAATACTGAAAAATAAAAAGATTAATAAAAAATAATTGTAATTTTTTTGTTTTTTTCATACAGTCAGTGGCTCAGAATGGCTTGACTGACAGTAAATGAACCAAGCCATTCTCAGACACTGAAATACTGTATCCTGAGCTACACGTGTGTAGTGCCGTGCTGGAAAATGCATAAATTAATTTAATTAAATGGCTGCCTGGGCCATTTGACAGTCACACAAATCCATATTGTGATATTGATTTTATTTCGATATATTGTGCATAGTGGTTAAACGGATCGTAGTTGATTCGTGATCCGTACGGACCAAGCCCCACGGTTCGGCACGCATGTGATCCGCGGATTAATTGCAAAATTTAACCATAATAGAGTATAAGTTTATCATATATAATTTATACACATACAATTATGACAAAATACCCATCTTGACAATCATTCAGGTAAACACAGTCAGTTATGTCTCAAGTGAATAAAAACAGCTGAGAAAGAAATCTGATGTGATGTGTATCATTATATCCGATCCGTGCATCAGGTCTTAAAGGGACAGCAGCCTATAAATACTGCTGCTGTCATTGATCATCAAACAACAAAACAGCTGTGATTAAAATATATATTGAATTTATACAGTGAACACTATGCAGTATTATTTTCCCTAATTATTACATTTCTGTATTTGAATACTACCAACCTTATTTTAATTGTAACATATTCTGTTGTATTTATCTATGCTTGTAATTTGTGTATTTGTTCTTATTTTTACTGGCTGTTCTCTCGTCTCTTTAATCATGTTTAAACTTTCTTAGTTAATCTAGTAGTATTTGCTGTGGTATCAAAGAAGTACTTTGCTTTAAGTAATAAATGGAAAGCAAGTTAAATTGAAATATTTTTCTTTTCTTGCTGATCCGAAAAATGATCCGATCCGGGGGTCAAAAACCGTAATGTGATCCGAACCGTGAGATTTGTGATCCATTGAACCACTAATTGTGCAGCCATACAGTCTATCCAAGGTGAAATGAGGCAACTGTACTAGGTGGTTTATGCATTTAGTTTTGCTTATGTAAATATACTGTACATCAGATGGATGTCTTTGGCTGCTTTGTCAGATGTACTTACTACAGTAAAAATGTGCTTTGCATTTAGGTGATACTTTTTGAATTACTCCGATGGTAGAAAAATGGATTGTCAATTAGCGTTATTTTCACTTTATTTTGTTGTAAATGAATAATTTATAAAAATGAACAAATAATAAAATTAATAAGTTTCATTTTAAAACTAATACTTCATTATTGATATTATATAAATTAATCTGTATATATATTTATTATAATATTTAAAACAATTACATTTATAAATACTCAAATGAATACACAAATTAATATTGATTGATTTATAAGTAATTGTGGCAAATGTAAAATGAGAGTTGTAATATGAATACATTTACAAAGGGCTTTCATCAATCAGAATGAAACTGTAGATGTCTGTGCCAGGCCATTATTGGAAAATCATTGGGCCTGTGTCAAGATTATTCACCTTTGAGCACACAGAACATTTTGCTTCGGTCTATTCAAACAATCCTTCAATAAATAGGTTTTGTTTGAAAGTAAACACATTGACTGTGGTCATCCAAAGTCCAGGGACAGGATACAGTGGCGCTTATGGGATGATATGACTGCACATAGCTTATCATTGAGACGGAGGCAGTGATATGTTATGGGGAATAACATTTGTGTAATAGGCTTTCAGAGATGCAGTGAATGACTTGGGTTAATGACCCAGTAGCTGCACAAGTTGGAGCACAGACCTTAGCACTTTGACTAAAGTTCATTTTTTGGTTTTATGTTTGAATATATTCTCTTTTAATGTTTATTAAGTTATTTAACTACTATGGATGAAAATATTGCCTTTGGAAAGGATGTTTTTTTTTAAGTGTGATGTGGAGAACAAGTCCATGGTGTCATTTTTCATTTTTATAATATTTTAAACTAACGAAAGGGCTATTAATTCATTAGCATTTAGTGTCATTCTCCGTTTAAATGCCAAGATGTTCCAACAAAGATGTACTAGAACTTATGACATAAAATGTATTTATTTTCATCAGACTATGTGCAAAAAAATATTTTTTTAATTATTCCAACATGTTGCCTTGTGAAATATGTCCTGTTCAAGCCAACCCAGTCTCATGAGAAAATGCAACTAATTTTTATGTTTTGGCAAATTGTATGAATTTGTGTGATGAAAAAAACTAAGCATAAAGGTCCACAGTGGGGCGTAAGCAGATTGTATGAAAATGTACGAATTCACCACTGTTAGTTACGAATTGCCACGAGAGTGAATATTTTCCACAATTGAGTGTTTGATGGGTGGTGCCATTGTGTATCTGGGTTTCGATTGGTCAAATGACGCAGCATTTAAAATATGTCTTTGCATTAAAACAAATCCTAAGGACAGACATCTGGAAACCCTATTGAACGGAGTGTCCGTCTGTCCTTTTTTATGCAGTCTGCCCTGACTAAGGTCTCTTCAGAGGTGTTCTGAGGACACGCTGCGGTTTGATTGAGAACAGAAGTAATCGTCTTGAGTTAAGGCTTTGAACAGGGGCCATATTTGTGGACTTTTTTGTTAGGGAGGTCTGGCAAGCCTGACTCTTTAGTTTTGGCTGGAATTTCAAAGACATGATGATGATGTCTTGTGGAGAAGAGAGAGTGAACTGGCAGTGCTGCTGGCCTGCGCTGTCAAAGTCATGCGTGTATGCTAATGTGTCTCTAATAAATCAGATGTGCGTGGATCAACTCGCTCAACACGCTCTGGGCAAAGCGTATGGGCTTCATGATAGAAGTGTAATGAGATAAGGCTGCTAATTTCAACTATTAAAAACATGCCGATTTGTTGTGCTTGAAAAATTACTGATGACTACTGATAGATCTGATATCATCCAATAATTGAGTCATGTGATTACAATATTTAGATGTGCTAAATTCTTGGATAAGAGGACCCCGGGGATGCAAGGTGTTATTGAGTTTATTAGCTTTTTATTCTCTATTTAATTCTTAAGAGACATTACAGAGCTGTGGAATTATTAAGGGCCTGACGTTTTGTCAGAGAATTAAGTGTTTACTAAATATTCAAAAATATTAGCATGTACTTGTGTAATTTGTGTAGCACTACTCGGAACATATATTTAATACTACTATTACTAATAATTACATTTAATATAATTCACTATACACACACACACACACAGTGGGTATAGAAAAAAAATCACCCCGCTTTAAAATAATCACATTTTGTTGCTTTGCAGCCTGAAATGCAGATGGACACAGTTTTTGTTTTATCCAGCTGTATTTACTCAGTGCAACTTAAAATGTCCAAGTGAAAGATATAACACCAACATGTCAGAAAAAAATATTAAAAACCCCAGAAAGAACCAGAATTATTTTCTACACTCACTGTATATATATGCTACATAATAGTAATAATAAATAATAATAGTAATTTATCATAATAATAATAACTGTTGTTGATATTAATTAAAATTATAATAATGCATTTTATTACAATTAATAATAATGACAGTAATATTATACGTGTTATTATTCATAATAATTAAATTACTAAATGTAAATTAATTAGTACAATATAAATTATAATAAAGTCAATAAAATGGGTGATGATAAAAAATAATATAATTATTATTAATAGTAATTAAATAAAAGTGTCATTATTAATATAATTATTATTAATTAATATAATAATAAGTTGTTATTATTTCTGCATTTTGACACAAAGTAATCATTATATAATTAAAACAAAATGCATTATGATTATATTAACATTACTGCTACTATTAATATGAAAAATAATAAGAAAAATCATTATAATAATGGTTACGTATACTATTATATTTGTGCTAACTCTAGCGATCAGACTATTTGAAAATTTGTTATGCCTTAATTTTATTGTCTAACTGTTAAGTTTGAAGCATTGTGTACTTCTCACTTGAGTATGAATGGTTGTTACTCATTTTTGGTAATTGATCAACAAAAAAAAAAATACAACACAATAATAACTAAGTTACTTTGTCATTTGGCTACCATTAATCTGTTTGCGCTATTTATCGGTAGACCTAACATTGAAAAACCAATGAGCCCTTTAGATTACAATAATCTCAATATGAGCATGATGGTAAAGCTCTGCTGCAGTCTCAAGAAGCTTGGGTCTTAACACAATCCTGATGTACAATGACCAAGACCAGGTTGTTTCAAGGGGATTGTCCTCTAAATAAATTAATAAATAAGCAAACAGACATGCTGAAGACTTCAGAGCAATCGGTTTGTACACAGGAAACAGTTGGTAGCACGAATAGATTCTTGGAAGTCAGTCTATTTTTCTTCCACTAACAATATGTTCACTGAGGAGCAAGCCACTGTACCGCTGAAGCGATGTTTTCTGCAGAACATGCTGTTTTGCGTTTAAAAGCCTAATGATTATGTTGGCGTGTTGATTCCTTAATTCTCCCTGCACTGTTCTGTCTGCCACAACACAGGGGCCGCT